TTTGATTTTTGAGTTATTATATAGACTTTTAATTTGATTCATAAATTAAAAAAAATTTTAATTTAATCTCTATTATTTATCATTTTAACTCTAATTTGATCTTTTCATTAAAATTTTACCTATGTATCTAGTTAATTTACCGTAACATGATAATACATTAATACACGTGAAAGATAACTTCTAAAAAATGGTGACATGAAAAAAAAAAATAATGTGACAAAGAAATTTTTATTTTAATTCCTTCCCTTTTCTTTTTGTTTCTGTTTTCCCTTTCTCTTGTCCCTGGGGTCGTGAGTTCCTTGGAACCTGGGACCCAACGCCTGGGTTCCGGCGAACCCACGTCTGGGTTCCGTCGAACCCACGCCTGGGTTGGGTTCCGTCGAACCCACGCCTGGGTTGGGTTCCATGGAACCCAGGCGTCGGCTCGACGGAATCCAGGCCTGGGTTCCGTCAAACCCGGGGTTGGGTTCCGGCGAACCCACGTCTGGGTTCCGTCGAACCCACGCCAGGGTTGGGTTCCATGGAACCCAGGCCTGGGTTCCGTCAAACCCGGGGTTGGGTTCCTTGTAACCCGCCGCTTTTCTCCAGGTCAACAACCACCAAACCCTTTGATGTTACTTGGACAGTATAGCGATGATGAATTAGATGACGAAACAGATAAGAGACTTGAAGATGGTATTATGGAGAATTCCATGGCTGACCATGCTGATCAGGTAATTGTTGGGTTCTCTAGATTTCATTTGAGTAAGCTCTCATTTTCTTCCCTTAAAGCAGCATGAGCCAGATACTAAGTGCTTGCTTAATTTTTATTAGGTCAAGGGGCCACTCAGTGAGGTTGATGCAGGGGAAAGGCAAGCTTGTAACCTGTTCAACCAACTGGATCAGGAGAGAGATTCTATCACATTGAATGGTCCCAGGAACGTGGAAGGCATTGGCACTAGAGAAACAGATAATTATGTCTCCAGTGACTCAGACAAGGAAAAGGATTCTTAAAAAACCCCAATTCCTGGAACTTCTGAAGTGCAAATCATTGGAGATGTGGGGTCAGGCTGGAGGATAGTAATGCATGAAGAGAATAATCAGTACTATTACTGGAATACTGAACTGGGGAAACATCATGGGAAGTACCCAATGTTTTGGATCAGACAAACCAATCAGCCTCTGATCAGAAAGCTCCTGCTATTGATTATACAGAGATTGTTCCTGCAGGTCCTCTGGATTGTAAATTGAATTCAGGCATTCAGTTGGATGATTCTTCTACTGCTGTAACCATTAAGGGTTCAATGGTGTTGAATCTGGACCCCAATTGGATGCACATGATGATGGATACAAAGCTGAAGCTCTGAAGGATAGAAATTGGGTCCCTGATTTTAATCAAATTGAATCTCAAAGTGACTTCAATGCAGTTAATTCTCAAATGGCCAGTGGAAATTCAGTTGTTCTGAGAATTACGCTCATGCTGCGCTAGCCAGTGAAGAACAAAATAAGGGAATTGATATCTCTGCTCATCTTGTGAAACAAGGAGAGTGTTTATTAGAAAGAATGAAGTCACTAAAAGTGTAAGATATATGTGGTTTCATTGCATATCTGTTCTTTATACATTTCTTTTATTTACATATATTGAATATGTAATTCCTCAAAATTTGGCGTAATATTTCTTTACCAATTCTAAGTAGAAAAATAATTTTCAGGTCTGAAGAGAACCTGCAAGGTCAGAGCTGGATGTCAAATTACATTTTAGAAGTTGAAATCAGACTTTCAGATATTAAGTCACTTCTTTCGCATGGATCTTCTATACTACCATTTTGGGTGCATCCAAAATGGCAGCTGAAACGGATGGAGGATGCTATTAATGATAAGATTTACCAGTTTGCAAAATCTGTTGCCATGGATGAAACTGATGAAGCACCTATCTCTTTTGGAGAGAAACTAAAATCTGATCAAAGTTTAGGAAGTGATTCTGAAGCAGATGGAAATGGAAGAAATGCAAATTCTTCTACTCCTCACATCTTCCCTGTTTCTACTCATGCCAGTGCAGTAAGAGCAGTCAAGCTTGACTCAAATGGTTAAGCTCAACAAAATGCTGCTTCTATTTTGTCTCTTGGATCTCCTGCTGAACATTTGGAAAGTAGTGCTAGATTTAGTCAACAGGTTGATGGAAATTTTCATTTAGATGACACTAACAAGAATGGATCATATCCTGGAGAGGATGTTGACATGGATGTCGATATGGAAGTTGAAGACTTAATCCCTGCAAGCAAGACAGTGCCTGAAGATGTTCCAAGTGCCAGAAACCCAGCTTCCCTGAGGGTTTCTCTCGAGCAATATCCACCTGCTGAAGACTCAGGGGTTGCGCCACCTCCAGAAGATTGGATTCCCCCACCACAACCAGATAATGATCAGGTTCCTCCACCTCCCCCTGATGATGAACAGGTTTCTCCTCCACCACCACCACCTGATGAGCATCCTGAATCACATCCTCCACCTCCATCTTATATGGAGTCTGGACAACCTGTCTCTTGCACAGAACAGTATAACATATCATATCCAAATTCCGCTTATCAGTATTATGGGCATGGGGTTACTGAAGTCCCAGTTAGTAATTTGTATGGACTTGTTGATGGAAGCCAAGTTGTTGTGCCCCAAGTGTACTATGAAGCAGTGCCAAATGGTTATTCTGAAGTTGTTCTACCGGTCATGGTTAACCCTGCTGATCCTGCAATATTTTATGGCCTTCAAGGCCAACAAGTGCCTTCTTTGCTCGCAGATAGCACTGCAGAATCTTCTCATTTACACAGCAAATCTGATCCTATGACCTACAGTACTGTTGCTTCAAATGATAGTGGATCTATTGTTGCTGCTGCTAAAGGAGTCACTGCAAAGAAAGATGTTTCCACTGTTGGTGAGATGACTGAAATTGTGTCAGTTGGGGTCTCTTCTAGTTCAGCAACTATTGAAGCTCCTGCAACTATTTCGGAAAAAGAAAGTGTTTCTGCAGCCACTTGTTTTTCAACAACTTCAAAGTTACAATCTAAAGGTGCAATTTTTTAACACGTTTACTGTTACGCATATTTATTTACTTTTGGCAACCTTTGCACTAATTAAATTTTAAGCTTTCACATGCCTGATTTAAAGTCTGCTCCACTAAGATGTGTTCATAATTGACACATTCAGATTAATACCGAAAGAAAAGAAACACATTTAGGTTTCCTCCTGCAATTTTCTGATGATTTCCAAGAAATTACATTTGTAATTCTCATGAACTCTGTTAAAGTTGATAGTGTGACAAAGGCTTTCAGAATTCAGAGGATAAATATATCTGCAGCCTTGGTGCTCCATCTGATATATATTTTCAATTCTGAAATATTGTTTACAGATCAAAGTTTTCTAGTAGTATATTTGATTTGGTGACATGGTATAGAAAGTTTCTGAAATTTTTAGTGTTCAGATGAGCTTTTAGCCATTCTACACACAATATTAGGATGAATCATGCAAGGCCTCTTAACTAATAACTTCATCCATTGTGTTTTTGAACTTTATTAAATTACAATTACAAACTTTTGTAAGAAGGTCTTTGATGTGTGACAGCATTGCGATCTAAAAAGCGGACGGTTGCTGTTGGATCCTCCTTGAGGTCTAGTAAGAAGGTCTCTATTTTGGTGGACAAGGTACAAGATTTGTGCTTGTTAATTGGTCTATCTAATGGATTTCTATGCTCAGTGTCTGTCTGCGCCAGAATCTTATTTTGCTGAAACATTTTAAAATTAACACCTATTTTATCAGTGGAAAGCTGCCAAAGAAGAGCTGAATGAGGTTGAAGAAGACAAGCCTGCAAATGCTTATGAAATCTTAGAGATGAAGCGACAACGGGAAATAGAGGTCGCAATTGAACCTTTCTTTCTCTTTTTTTCTTTTTTGGCCTCCAAAACAGAATTGAACCTTTTCTTATATACCTTCTTTTTTGACTATTTCTAGTATCTGACCTTTTTATGATTGCAGGAATGGCGTGCTCAGCAAATTGCTAGTGGAGAGGTGAAAGATAATGCAAATTTTCAGCCATTGGGTGGCGATTGGTATGAAACTTTAATCCACTTCAACAATTTTATGTAGCATTCTGTCTTACATTTTTGCAACCTTAGGTATCAAAATATCAAAGTCCATTTACTTCCCTGCATGTGTTAAGGCAGAAGCTACTTCCTTTTTCTGCTTTTCACATGTATATGATCAGTTGTTCCCACGTATCTGCTTTTATCTCTCAAATCTAGGTAAAAGCATAGTTTGCTTCAATGCAACTGTATGCAAGTAGGGGGAAGGATCTTTTAGTCTGTAGAGTGGATTGCTTTTACTGCGTTCAGTTGCTTATATCTTGTTGTGGTTTAACTAGTGCCTTCTGCCCAGGAATTGATTCTCTCTCACCCAAATACACTACCATGCTGGTCCGCAATATCATTATCTGTATATACTCCTGTCTGATTTGCTCTGATTAAATGTGCTTTTTATTTATATAGGCGTGAAAAGGTAAAGCGCAGAAGAGCTGAGAAGGCCAAAGAATTTGCAGAGACTTCAGCGGAGGTCCTTCCTGAAGGCAACCAGGCTGATTTGGCTGAACTTTCAAAGAACCTCCCCTCTGGATGGCAGGTTTAAATTTTACCAAAAGTATTCAATATTTTAGTAGGATCTTTACGTTCCATTTGGTACATTCAATTTCTTACTTGGAAGTACCTTTTTATTTAATTTTTTTTTTATCAGGCTTATTGGGATGAAACTTCAAAGCAGGTCTATTATGGAAATGTCTTGACCTCGGAGACAACCTGGACCAGACCTACAAAATGATCGGTTTCCTGCCATTCTCTTGTTGAGTTCTGTCATTCTCAACTCCACAATTTTCCCCAAGTCCGTAGTTAATTTTTCCAACTCTATATTTTGTCAGGAATGTATCAGGTGTTAGGAATTTGCCAAGCCAAAAGAAGAGAATAGAAAATCTTTCAGCTGTTGTAGTCATTTTCAGATCCTTCACCATTTGTTAACGGAAGTTAATTAGATCCCGGAATTCCCCAAAATTCTCTTTTTTCCCAGAACTGACAAGGTATGGCATTCATCAACATGAGAAACCAGCAACCAGGACGAAAAACATTCAAAAACAATAACTTGCATATAAACAACAAAACCACTAAATGAGAAAAGAGACATGAAGAAAACTCGGTAGATTTCCATAAACAGACATGCAAACAAGACTACAAAACTTTATTGATGTCTCAGAAAGAAATGGCTGAGCACCAGAACAAATGCATTTATCATGAATTACGGTTACTCAATGTCAAAAAGAATACAGCATGGAAAAAAGTATCATGGATTATTGCACGTCTTCTCATCTTCTCCTCCTGGCTTTATAGCCCTCCTCAGTTTCCTTATCCTTCAAGAAGCCTAAAAATGCAAGAAGGCCAAAAAGGAAGAATCCACCTGAAAAGTTGCCTCCTCCGCCTCCCCCGCCGCCACCACCACCACCATCATCACGTGGTGGAAATCCAGTCCCACCATCATCCAGTTGTGGTGACTTCTCATTTGCTGAAATTTTAATTAACAAGCATAAGCATTCAGGACAAACAATTTCTTATTAAAAAAAAAAGAGAAGTGAACAGAAAAACAGACGGTAACATCATGGAGTTGTATAGAACTATTCAAACAGTAGATTATGAGATGTCATTCCCAAGATAGGACGACAATTATACCATTATGGCAGATGGAATAGGAAATAGCAATAAAGGGCAAGTGTCCATGAGGATATGAAAATTATTGGCAGACAGAACAAAAACCCAAGTACAAAACATTCACCAAGCAATTAGCAGTTCAACGAGAAAGCATATGAATAGGACTATTACCATGAGTGGGAGCTTGGGTGATTGTTGGTGCCTGACGAGTGACTGTTTGAGTTTGCCCTGATGCACTGCATCTTGCGTTCTGCAGGAAAGGAAGAAGGATTAACCTTTAAATCACTACTATAATAAACTGCTTGTTGCCCATGT